GGGAGAAATCAAATCAGTGTAGACCCCTTTAATTGACAAATGTAATTGAGATTGGGGAAAAAATTAGGGGCAGGGTTCGTGTGAGGAACATTTAGCTTTGGAATTGGAAGAAGGCTTCCTGCCTGCACCGCGGAATTGGATTTGTGTGTTTTTTATTCACACGTTGATGGAGACGAAGGAGAAAGTGCAGTGCGATGGTGGTCGAGGCGATTAGGCTTCAACAGCGGCGACGATAATGCTTGGTGATGGTGGAGAAGATTCTGGGTTGGTTTCTGGTGGTGCGCCTCTTGTGGTTTTTGCTTGCAGGTTGACGATGAAGACGTGAGGGAGATGGTTGCGCCACGACGGAGGTTCGGCGAGAGACTGGCATTTCTGTTCTTCTCTGGATTTTGCTTTGCAGGTCCAGTGAGTAGATGACAACTAACAATGTTTATCACTTGCAAGTCCACCCTCTATCGCTCGTCCAACTACCTCCATGTTCCCGACCGTTCGGTCTGGTCGTCCTCCTCGTCTACCCACTCGGTCACATAGCTCCACACTTCTACCGTTCGGGTCTGGTCGTCCTCCCTCGTCTACCGCTCGTCCAACTACCTCCCTGCTCACGACCGTTCGGTCTGGTAGTCCACCCCCCTCCTCTATCGCTCGTCCAACTACCTCCCTGTTCCCAACTTCGGTCTGGGTCGTCCTCCCCTACCGTTCGGTCACATAGTTCCCCACCTTCTACCGTTCGGTCCCCCTCTCTCTCCCTCCTAAACCTTCTCTTGTACACTTTCCAGCCCATAACATGTGCTCCCTGCCTTCCAACGTTCGACCTTTACGTCGATATCGTTCGACCCTCATTCCTCCTACCTTTCTTCTCCTTCTCATTACCTCCCCCTTATACCCTAACATATACAGTATCAGATATAAGACCTGCAAAAATTTCTAAAATAACTGTGCCCACCAACTATTAAAAAATAGTACTTATGCTTAGTAATACAACAATGGAAATACAGTTCCTGGCATTGTAATATATAAGACGTCAAAAAGGAAATTCTAATATATCCAAAAATTGTAATACATCCAAAACACATAGTTGGCATCATTGCTTTCATTTAAATTACCATAGCAGTAAAACCATAAACATTGTTCTTAGACTATTACATAATAGATCCTTAAACTTGGCATCATTGTCATTTATACACACATCTATAGTTGAGCTCCTGGTCATTCATACACACTTCAGATAACTGTGATGATGGCATGATTGGTTCTTGGGTTGCTTTGGGGGACCACCACCGAATATTGTAGTTTCTCATCAATAAAGGACCCACACGACTATCGAGACACGAACCCCTGCATGCCGCTTCCAACTATTCTTCTTCCGAACGAACCTTGCCGCTTCAGCTCGACAAAGATCGCGATTTTTCTTCCCTCACGCGAACCCTAATAATAAAAAACCCCAATTTGTTTCCCCAATCTCAGTTGCATTCCTCAATTAAAACGTCTTAGATAGAACATGTTGAACAGGGAATCTGCATTTGATTCTCCCTCGGGCCATCCTCGAACAGATCCACTCTTTCCCAACTCTGGACGACCACGAGGCCTAGAATAGAAAAATCTTCAACTTGATTTTGATTTCTCCCTTCCAGAGATGTTTCAGCAAACAAAAAATTACGTTTTTCCAAATTGCCCTCTTTTAATTAATTCAGCATGGATATACTTATTTAATTCATTCAAAATATCTGAGTATTAAAAAATGCATTACACGCCATGTCACGCACTGCTTAACGCCGTTTTCTGAAATGACGGAAAGGATTTATTTGAATCAAATTAACAAAAATAAGGATCTAATTAAGACTTCAAATATAACAGGAACCTATTTCAAATTTCAGACGAAAATAGGGACCTATCGAGACATTAAACCAATAGATACCAAACATAACCCTGGTAGATCTTACCGCGTTTCATCTCCATTTTCAAAAGGAAAACGTTTCTTCAAAACAGATTTTTGACAACAATTTGACAACAACACGTGTCTCACTGTCATTGGTTGTTTTTATTAAATTTTGTTAAAGATTCATTTTGTTGTGGAGGGCATTTTTGGAATAATTTTTAGAACTTTTGGCGCTTTTTCAGAAACCCTGCAAAAGTCTCTTCCTCCTTTTCGAAACTCTCTCTCCCCTTTCGAAACTTCTCTCCCCCTCACTGAAAGATCCTTCAAAACTCATCTCCGTCATTGAAGTTCCTTCCTTTGAAACTCTCTCCGTCATTGAAGTGGTGTCTCTGTCCACCGTTGTTTGTCCTCGCTTGGGTCCACAGTGTCTTTGGAGGAAGTCGTCGCTCTCTCTCTCTACGACATTGAAGTGCTTTCTGTGCGCCATTCTCCAAAGCTCTCGTTTTTCCGCTGGCACCGTTGTTCCTTCGTCGTTAGGTGCATTGTTCCTTCCTCTTTGGTTAGCGAGTGGTTTGTTGGCATCATTTCTCCAAAGGTATTGTTTTTTCGTATAAAAACCTATAACAATGGTGCAAAACGTCACTTCTCAACCTATAAACAACCTTCGTGGGTTCCATCCACATAGGACTCACCAAACTCGAAATTGCTTGTTATGGACACCTAACCATGGCCAACAGGGGATCAATCCATAAAAACTTGAAAACACAATCGTCAGGACTGTTGGGGAGTGCTCGGCCATGTTTGGGTAGCACTCTCAAGTTTTGGTACAAAAGGGATTTTCCACTGTAATCGATTACCAGCTCCCTGTAATCGATTACAACAACATCAGTCCTGTGTCAATGATGACGAACAAACAATGATCATGCCACTCACCTCAGTGGAGAAAACCATCTAAATGGACATTTTTTTGAAGAAATCAATGACTTAACCTCATTATTGGGGCAGGGAGCAACCAATAACGTTTAAAACTCACTCACCTATCTCAAAAAATGAAAAATTCAACAAAAATAGAGATGGGGAGTAGTGTTCATCTAGCTAGGGAGTACAGTTGAAGTTCTGTACAAAATACCCATTTTCTTTTGGTAATCGATTAAGGGTCTTGTAATCGATTAGCAGAGGAAAAGGGTAATTTGTACAGAAACGTCAACTGTACTCCCGAGCTAGATGAAACATTGCTCCCCAACTCTGTTTTTTCTACCTTTGCTATTGTTTTGTTCTTAAATTTCTCCACCGAATCCAAATGACTTGATTCTTGTTTGTTGGAATCTAGACTCAAAGATCTTTCCAGCAAAACAAAGAATAACTCATTTGGAGTTTGGTGGAGAAAGTTTTGAGGAAAACAACAGCAAAAGTCAGAGGTGGTGAAATATATAAAACGTTAACTTTAAGGAATTAACTGCACTACTCATGTGTCCAAAATTATAAATTAGTAGTCATTGGAAAGATATTTGAGTCTAATTTCTAATAAAAAATAATCACATCATTTGGAGGTCTGTGGAAAAAGTTATGATTAAAATAGTCAGGCAAAGGTCAAAGTTGACACATGGGTTATGTACATCACCTCAATTGGAGAAAACCACCTAAATGGACATTTTTATTTTGAAGAAATCAATGACCCTAACCTCATATTGGTCAGAGATCTCACCAAATAACATTGAACTCACTCACCCATCTCAAAAAAAGGAAAATTCAACAAAAATAGAGAATGGGAGCAGTGTCATCTAGCTGGGGAGTAAGTTGAAGTTTCTGTACAAATTCCCTTTTCCTCTGGTAATGATTACAGGGGTCTTGTAATCGATTACCAGAGAGAAAAAGGGTAATTTGTACAAAAACTTCAACTGTACTCCATCTAGATGAACACAGCTCCTAACTCTGTTTTCTTAACTTTGCTACTTGTTTTGTCTTAACTTTCTCCACCGAACTCCCAAATGACTTGATTTGTTTTTTTGGAATCTAGACTCAAGAGCTTTCCAACAAAACAGAATCAACGCATTTGGAGTCGGTGGAGAAAGTATGAGCAAAACAACCAGCAAAGGTCAGAGGTGGGAGAAATATATAAAACATTAACTTTAAGGAATTACTGCACCTAAGCAGGTGTCCAAAAATTAAAAATTAGTAGTCATTGGAAAGATATTTGAGTCTACTTTCTAATAAAAAAGAAAAAAATCATTTGGAGGTCTGTGAAAAAAGTTATGACAAATAGTCAACAAAAGTCAAGTTGACAGCATGGATTATGCATCACCTCAATTGGAGAAAAACCACCTATAGGTGTTTGAACCAAGGTAGTTCACGTTCATGACAACTTTTGCACAACTCGTAGAGGAAGAAGTTTATTAACTTCTGCAATCAATTTGACGACAACCATATTCTTAGATTACATTTCATTGTATACTGTTATGTTCTTTTCATTCAAACTTGTGTTTCGTGAAATGTCATATTACGTTTTTTTATAATGATGTGCTTTTTAATATGTTATAAATTTTTCATTATCAATACCCTTCATTATTTCGTTTATATTTGTTTAATATTGAAGTATTCCAACTTGAGTGTTCCATTAATGATCCATCCATAAAACCTCAAAAGACAGTCATAACGAATCCAAATATTCCTTGGGAGTGCTTTAAGCCACGTATGGTAGCAGTCTTCAACTTTCGGTACAAAGGAGATTTTTTCTACTGGTAAGCGATTACCAGCTCCCTGTAATCGATTAAACACATCAGTTCTTTGTCAATGGTGAGGAACTCACCTCTCAACCCAGAACATCTTAACTTGGTCTTTCAATGATGACGAACAACAACTGCAAAATGGAAGAGGGAGAACACGAAGAGAGAAGTTGAAATGAAATTCAAATCCTAAAAATGAGAGAGAAGACAGTGATAAGGAGAGAAGATAGAGTTCGAAAACGAAGAGGAGGTTTTCGAAATCCAAACTTCAACCCATTCCAAATCAGATTTTAAATTTAGAAAAAACATTCAATTCGACAATTAAAACTTGACACGTGGCGTTGTGAAATCTTGTCAAATTGGCGTTGGCGTTGTTAGAATATCGCGATCCTTTCAAATCAGTTCACCCTAGTAAGCATATACTTTCACCAGTCACAGGCTAAAACTCAAGAACTTTGAAACAAAAGGAAAGACAGGAAGAGAGGAGTGAGAGTGAAAGAAGAAGCAATGGCGACGCGTACGATCTCGCAGGAAGCTTTCGAAGAACTTGTGAAAGAAAACGTCGACGACCTCGGCATGGACCCCACCGAGGCCCTCCAAGACGCCATCCAGACCCTCACTCTTCAAGGCGTCGATCTCTCAGGTTCCTCTCTCTCTTCTCACCTTCTCACCTTCTTCTCCCTCTCTCAATCCCTCAACGACGTCGTTTCGCAGGCATCGTCACCTCCGTCCCCGGCGACACCAACCCCGTCATCGACTGCTTGGACCGCTTGAAGCACCTCCAATCCGAACCCGACGATCACGAATCGGCCATACGTTCAACACGCTCCCTGAATTGTGTTCCGATCCAAATTCCAAATGCAAATTCTAATTCGGCAATGCGACCAGAAACGGTGCCGTCGAGTTAACTTGTTCGCTCTGTTCCAAAATCCCCCGCGCCACTGGATCTCGCGAGCTCCTTCTCTCTGCTTTAAACGCATTGTCGTCGTTGCTTCACGGTTGACTACTCGTTTATCAACCGTTGCCATTTCGCCACTGTTTTGAATTTCTCCTTTTGAATGCTGATTCTCTCTGTCGTTTCAGATGTTCAGAGTACGGGCACGTTTCAGCGGTGTGACGGACCGACGATTGTGATTGGTTTTCTGGCTGATAATAAGCAGGATGTGGAGGTCTTGAGCAGTGGATTTCGCGTCGTGGCTTCTGCGGCGACCGGCGATGAGATCGTGAAGGAGTCCTTTATGGAGTTGAAGGTTGATGAGCTGGTTTTGGAGATCTTGGTCGTTGCATAAAACAGGGGATCCAGAGTTTGTATGACGCAGTTCCGCGCTTTTGACTCCGGATGACATCGAGTCGTGGCTTCGCAGGTGAGTCGGCTGCTTGATGATATGTTCGATTATGTTTGGTTACCGTTTGGTCACTCCAAGTTACGTTTTTGTCCCGAAATAATCGTTTGGTTGTATGTTTGATTTCCTTAAAAGTACCTTAGCATACTACATTTGGCCTGAAACCAGGTTTCAATTGAAAGTAAGATCGAGGTTGCCTTTGCAAACTCAGTTAGCAAAATGAAACCTTCTGAATCTAAGTTTCCATACTTTAATCCAAACATGCACTTAGTGTGCTTATTATACTTGAGAAAGATATTTGAGAGTGTGTGTTTCCCTCTCTTAAGATTCTCATTTATAATAACTTTGGATACATGGGACACAATGTATATGAGGGAAAAGAAGAAAATTCCAAAAGATACATCTAAGAACTAGGTCCAAGACAAAACATACAACACCTTACAATAAATCCTATTAAAGACTATTTATTCTAACAATTATTATGGATGTTAAAGAAATTTGGTAAAATTTATCCATGGACACTTGTGGTAGAGAAGAAATGTAGACATGTTAAGTAATATGATGTGATGAGGAATATGATATGGTACGAGGATAGATATCGAGAAATGAAAGATGTCAATTTTGTGTTTGTACTTTAACAGGTGTCCATGCATAATTACAAGAATTTGATTTATCTTAAGAGTCATATATATTAGCATTTGTCCTCAGATGTGTCCATATATCATTAGTCTTGTTTGGGTATCGGAAACAATTCTTCTTTTTCATGAATTCACAGGTAATTATGAAAGAAATTTAAATGTTTATTACACTGTCATCTAATCACATAGTTCATGTATAATAAGTTTGTTGACTTTTTTTTTTAATAATTATCTTGAAAGTCATAGGTAACTCTAATTGATTACGACAAGAAAGCCTTACGAAACACAGATCACAACTGCCATTCAGCTCAGTTAGAGATCGAGGTTTCAGAGTTTGTTTGACAATCTTGAAATGTTTATATTGGCAGTGTGTGAAAAACTAGACCCTTAAAAAGTTTCAGTTACTTTTAAGTAATAACTTATTCTATATTGGTTAGAGATAATCCAGAGTCTCAGCACTCTCCTCACGATGGGTTTCTAAAAATTGCCCTGCAGCATTTACATTGCTATTTTTGCCCATTTATTAACTATTCACTGACTTGTGGGTCAGTTAGGTTCGTTCTTTCATTCCTTACAGATTACTTTAATATTGATGATGGGAATATTGTTTTTGACCAAATAGTCCGTGGAGTGTCACAGGTGTTTCATGTACACGGACACGTGAAAATAAAGAAGTAAAAGGGTGCAAGTTAGGAACTTAATTTGGTGAATATGAATAGGGGATTTCTAGTTCATGTTCTTTCGAAGTTGTAATCTGCTATCATTTCAGTTATGTGTACATCATTGCAAAAGTATTCGTTTTGATCTGTTTTCAGGTGTATGGTTATGCACGAAAATTTGCCAAGATAGGAATTGCAGAAGCTCTTGTGGATTGTCTGAGTGCAGGGCTTTGCTCACCTGACCTAGTTCCAGCGTGCACCACTTTGAAATTCATTGCTGTAAATGTAAGTGGAGTAATATCCAATCCTAGTTGAGTATGCAAAATTGTGTTTGTATTGGAAACTCATAGGAATGCAGCCATTAGATAAAGCATGTAGTTGTATGGTTTTAGGTGATTTTTGTGGTGACAAATTGTCAGTTATACTTTGTCTCAAAATAACTGTTGAAAGACCAAGAGTTTTTATGGACTGTCTCACCGTGAATGATTCCTAAGATTGAGTTGCTGCAATGGTTTCCTTTTATTGATTCAGATGAGGCCAGGTGGACATGTTAGTGGAAATTAAACTCTGGGATAATGGCGGTATATTTGCCTGTGTATCTTAATACAAGACTCGCAGTCTCATTGGTCAATTATTAGGTGGCTTTTGCTTCTTATCCCTGTGTATGGCTTTTGCATGTGTAATGGCACAATAAATAAAATGTACGCTTGCTGCATTATTGAGTATGAACAGTAAAATCAACTCCCTGAGTGTATACTTGGGAGGAGGAGTAACTGATGCTGATAGAATGAGAAAGGAGGCAGAGCAAGGAAATCCGAAAAGTTAGTGGCAGAGAGAGAAGAAGAATAGAGTTGCATCACACCATCCACCTCCTCAACAATTTTCCTTTTTCTCTTTTATGGGCTCAATCCTTCAGACATTCTCTCCACTTGGAAATGTTTATTTGCTGTCTGGTTGCCTAGCTGTCCCGTTTCACTATTTTTTTTTGAGTCATTATTCCCACGGAGTATTTCATTCCTTGGCTTCAATACAGCATGCTGTGTTAGCCATGCCACATCTTCAAACTGAAGACTTGCTGACACAAGAATTGTATTGTATTTATGCCTTGTATTTTATGTTGCAGGATGAAATATGTAAATCCATTGCTGAGAAAGGTGGTGTCGATGCAGTACTCAGATGTATCGATGACAGTGGTGAACAAGGTAACAAAGCTGTGGCCAAAGTTTGTTGCTCATTACTTTCAAAGGTATGGGTTGAAAATGTTTCTCTGGACTGCCCACCTAGTCATTTGTTTATTATTATTAATTTTTTGTAATTTCTCTCTGCAAAATATGGTTTCCAATGCTAGTGGTTCTTTGTAGGGTTTGCATTTTCTCTTTTTGTTGTTTTGATGGTTGTCCTACATTTTCTTCTTGAGCTGAAAGTTTTCCCTGCATATTATACTGTTATAATTTCAATCACTTGGGATTTGAGTGTGGTTTGTTTGTGTCCTAGATAAATCCCTTGCATCTTTTTAAAATGAAAATAAAAATGTGAATGCACCCATGTTTTTGGGTGTATGTAGCTGATGAAATTCACTTGGCTTCCATAAAATCATGAGCTGGAGTTTGCAGTAATAATCTCATAAATTTTCAATCCAAACACAATTTATACTTGTAAGTTTTTATATATGATATGAATGTAGTTGAGTAATGTAGGTAAAACTGAAATGATCATAAACATATTCATTATTTGATTGCTTATAACTTTTAACGTTCAATTCCATTAAGTTAAAAGTTGTCATTCCATTAAGTTAAATGACTCATTTCTTTGTTTAATTGATCAGTTAGCAGGAAGTGACATGAACAAGAGTGAAATTGTTGGGAAAGGAGGTATGGAGAAGTTGTTCACACTTTCATGCATGTTTTCCGATGACCCATCTGTTTTGCAAGAGGTGAGAATCTGCAATATCTGTTTGAGTAGCCATTGTAAAATCAGTCAGACTAAAACATCATGCTCGAAGTCTTGAATTGTTCTTATTGGGCACATCAATTTCGTTATAGGAATTCCAATAGGCATTAGACAATTGGACAGTGGTTATTGAAGATTGTAAATGATGTAATCATGGTTTATAATGTTGTTACTGGGTTCAGACTCCTAATATACTTAATCATGCTATTGCTACCAACATTTACAAAGAGTTATATCAGACCATATCATGGACGTAATTTTCTCTTTAAAACTCATGGTTTACTTGTTTCCTTCCAATTTATGTATATATGTACATCTTGTACCTGTTTTTTATTTTGTTGCTTTTATTTGTGGCACAGATTATGTCTATTATTTCTGTGCTGTGTTTAAGATCACCTGAAAACGCAGCCCGTGCCGTTGAAGCTGGTGCTGGTGACCTAGCTGTTCAGGCCATGAAGAAATTTCCTGCAGCACACCAAATGNGGGATTTGAGTGTGGTTTGTTTGTGTCCTAGATAAATCCCTTGCATCTTTTTAAAATGAAAATAAAAATGTGAATGCACCCATGTTTTTGGGTGTATGTAGCTGATGAAATTCACTTGGCTTCCATAAAATCATGAGCTGGAGTTTGCAGTAATAATCTCATAAATTTTCAATCCAAACACAATTTATACTTGTAAGTTTTTATATATGATATGAATGTAGTTGAGTAATGTAGGTAAAACTGAAATGATCATAAACATATTCATTATTTGATTGCTTATAACTTTTAACGTTCAATTCCATTAAGTTAAAAGTTGTCATTCCATTAAGTTAAATGACTCATTTCTTTGTTTAATTGATCAGTTAGCAGGAAGTGACATGAACAAGAGTGAAATTGTTGGGAAAGGAGGTATGGAGAAGTTGTTCACACTTTCATGCATGTTTTCCGATGACCCATCTGTTTTGCAAGAGGTGAGAATCTGCAATATCTGTTTGAGTAGCCATTGTAAAATCAGTCAGACTAAAACATCATGCTCGAAGTCTTGAATTGTTCTTATTGGGCACATCAATTTCGTTATAGGAATTCCAATAGGCATTAGACAATTGGACAGTGGTTATTGAAGATTGTAAATGATGTAATCATGGTTTATAATGTTGTTACTGGGTTCAGACTCCTAATATACTTAATCATGCTATTGCTACCAACATTTACAAAGAGTTATATCAGACCATATCATGGACGTAATTTTCTCTTTAAAACTCATGGTTTACTTGTTTCCTTCCAATTTATGTATATATGTACATCTTGTACCTGTTTTTTATTTTGTTGCTTTTATTTGTGGCACAGATTATGTCTATTATTTCTGTGCTGTGTTTAAGATCACCTGAAAACGCAGCCCGTGCCGTTGAAGCTGGTGCTGGTGACCTAGCTGTTCAGGCCATGAAGAAATTTCCTGCAGCACACCAAATGCAGAGAAACTCCTGTCTTATGATCAGAAATCTAGTTGTGAGAAATCCAGAAAACAGGCAAGTTTATGATTCGTGATATTTATTATGCAAAATGTTTAATCATACATTGCTTTGCATTTTTTTTTCTCGTTTTGCAGTTTTGTAGTCTGTCTTCTAGCATTTACTATGAATGTAGTTTGAAAAACCTGAACAGGTAGTTCTGTTTAACTGGGAATTGACTTGGTAATTTTTCCGTTAATATTAACAACTAGACCATTTCCGAACTGGTTTAAAACGAGGTTGAACAGTGTTTTCAAAAACTTATTTTAGTTTTGTAAAATTTAATCTGAAACATTTTTGAGACAAATAAAAACATATTTTAATAAGGATTACAAATATGCATAAATTATTCTATCAATATTATTTTAATAAAGTATATAATTTAGTCATTTATATTAATTTACAATTTTTAGATCTTGATTCCTTTAATATTTTTTTTACAGTAATTTGTCATTTTTTTTTTCATTTTAGATGTAACATTGTTATTGTTATTAGATATTGGTGTATTTCATTAAACTTAAGAATTATGATCTTTTACGTGTACATTATATATTAAAAACCTATAAAACGATGTTTTTACTTTAGTTATAAAATTATGTTTTAAGTAATAGTTTATGCATTGTTTGATTAATATCAGTTTGACTACTTTGAACATCTTTTATAACCAAAGCAATAACCGATTTGGTTTTAAAAATATTGCATGAGGCAAATGCCAAATAAAAAGATTGCTAGAAACCGCAGAATGCGAATCATATTACCTCGTTATGGTAACCTTGTTGGAACTTTTGTATTGGACAGAACAACCTTGCTTTTGTATGGAATTGAGAAATACATAAGGAAAGCCAAGCAAACACATAGCAACTGTAAGGATGCTGCCACCGATGCGTTGAGGGATTTGGGCCTTGATAATTACAACTTGTAGTTGATAATTTTTTGACCTCTATTGTTTTACACCGTAATACCATCAATATTCTTTTGTTTTCCAAGCAAAATAGTGAGTGTATGACTGTATATTGTAATTGTCTCTAACCTCTCTACAAGAATATTCTCAATTTTCGGAATTCTATTCTATGTACAGACAGAGCTTGAACCTAATAGCTTCGTCGGAACTCCAATCCAATGGTTATAAGCCATAAATATTCCAGTGTTATCGAGGTTAGCACCATCTTGAATTTTTTCTTCATGTGCATCATTCACGCATCTACTCTTTGCTTCCCTTCTCCATCTTTTCAAATTATACTGGTTAGGTATTAGTTTAAAATCATTCACATCAAGAACTATATTTGATGACAGAATGCCAAAATTCTAAAACTTTCTGTAACTAAAAGAAACTGTCCCGATGGAAGGATTGAGTCAAACTTTATGCAACAATCATCCGCCTCCCGAATATGTTTGTCTAGAATTGATAATAAAATACCAAAAATTCAACTCTAATTTTTAGATAATGGATTTACATGTTTAACTTCTCAATTAAAATTTATAGAATCAAATAAATGTAAGTTTTAAAATAGAATACTTTTAAACACTAAAAATGATATTTACAACTTAAAAATCATAGCAAAACTAAAGTAATTAATTAAATCTAATTTATATCACGCCTCATTAAAGCATTTATCTAATTGATATCTAGAACTACTTTGATTCGAGATCTATCTATATGTAATGTCCACAGGGTATTCTGCTATGTGAGAAACTTTTTCTTCGTGGGTTTTCTATCTAATTTACAAATTTTGCTTGTGTGAAATTTAGCAGTGTTCAGATTATGAATCATGGTAGGTTTTAATGAGTTTTTTCCTATCAACTTGTCGATAGAACTTTGATCAATGGAGTGTTGATATGGGGATCATCTTTGATTTCCAAGACATGTTGGAAATTATAAAGATGTTCAAGAATCAATGTTATTGAAAATCAGCTATGGTGGCGCCATGATAAAAATTGATGGTGGATTTATAGTTTGTTGCCACAATATGGTAGTGGTGATGCGGGTTTCTCATGGTAGGCATTTTGGGAGTCACGGAATGCTGGCGATGAATGAAGATGGCAAAAAATGTGGAGAGGCATTTGACATTATAATTTAACATAACTCTTTTTCCTTGTCAAATCATGATGACATTGTTGCTTGCTGCTAACATTGTTGTTTGCCGCTGGGCGTAGGGGTTTTAAGTTGGTCATTTAATTATCGCTTCGATCGATACTGATCGGTGAACATATTGGAGTTACATTTAAGCTAATTGTTTGGGAAACATGATCTAACCATGCAATGTCTAGGCCACCTATACTTCGAACTTACGTTTGAAAATGTTAATGTTGGAGGGAAAATGTAATGCCTCGAATTCTATACCATCTAGAATACACATAGTTGATATCCTATGAGCCATTATATGCAGCTTGATCGGATGGCTAAGGATGAGTGACAAGAAGGGATGAATACAACCTCCCAATCGTCCCCCAACTATGATTGGGTGTCCCACGATGTGTTTTAGTACGTAACTTGTTTTTATTAGGGGCAATGGTTGATTAGGTGGGTCGAGCAGAAGCACCTTATTGAAGATGGTCAGAGTGCTAACATGATAAGCTTGTATCTATGCAAAGGGAACGAGTAGGTTTTTCATGTGAGGAAAAGTTGTCTTGTAGACCTCTTCTACATTTATGCTTGTCTTTTCAATGCTATGCTTGTTCGTCTCCCTTTTGATGAGTTTCAAATGGACTTGTTATTAGAACTGAACATAATGCCCACTCAACTATTGATGATGGAATAAACAAACATTTTTAAATAAAATTTTACTTTCTAAGGAATCATGTTAACAAAAAAAAAATGGAGTTAAAATATTGTAATACCAATAAACAAATAACATATATTTTAACAAAGTTTCTTATAATTAACCAATTCAAACTTATTAGAGATATGATATAAATGGAGTGTATATATATTAATTAAGTAGTTAGTGAGTCATTAATCCACTTATAAAAGGGAATAAAAAAACACACAAAAGTTTATTATGGACAAAAGTTATAACTTTTAAATATTAATTCCTTAGAATATAATTATACTAGAATTTAAATTATTGAGTACCAAATTAATTTTTTTCTAAAACTTTATGTAACACATTTATCTATCTATATATATATATATATATATATATATATTCTCAAATAAAAGTTATCCTGGCTGACTGCATCTAATAAGCCAAACTTTCCAGCTTGCAGAGGAATAAAAGATGTGCTTTACAACCTGTTTCAGAAACAATTATTAGGGTAAAATATTTATAAGAAAGAATATTTTATGTATTTCAATTAAATTATGCACTAGTTGAAATTAGTTTAGGTAAATGAGAGATTTTTTACAGATTAATCTATCGTTTAATGTAAGTTTATATAATAATTTATTTTATTTTATAGTATTGTTTATGAAGATTAAAAAGTAAGTAGTCTTGGTGCAAAATAATTTAGAGATTTAACAAAAAAATCATATTAACAAAAAAAAAATAGTAATAGTTTCACGAGTTACTTCTTTATAACAAATATCCACCCATTTTTATTCAACCACAAGTTCAAATAACTTCCAATTAAAATAAAATTTGTAATTATTTTCAATCCAAATGATTATTTTAAAAATTTATATAACAAATAAAAAAATAGTTTTATACACATTTTCAAAGGCAATCTCGTACCATACAAAAGACAAGGGCTCTTTTTGTCCTTTAGGAAAAAAAAGCTTGACAATAATCTAATTAAGAACTAAAGTAAATTGAAGTGGACTGAAACTGTTCCATCGCAAAGATTCTGAAAACCGTTAAACACATCAAACTTTCACACGAGATGTTTGAGACAAGTTAAGATAAGATATGTACAAGTTTAGTATGAAACTCATATATATATATTATAATATATATATTATATATATATATATATATATATATAGTAATATATTTTATATAATTGAAGTGGGGTTTTGAGTATTGTTGGTGGGTAGTTGGCTTTTTGGCAAACGCATCTAAAGAGGTACACTTTTTTGTGCTATTTTCCTTGTTCATACTCATGTGTATGACGTGTAAATATATTATGTTTTCTTTCTTATCATGTCATAACATTGAAAATATTAACATACTTTACCATAGGTAAAATTTAATTGCTCTATTAAAGTAAGATTTAAAAAAAAAACTTTAGTTTAATTTAACTTTATAAAATTGCTTTTGTAAAGTAATATAATGTAAATTTGTTTCTGTTAACATAACATCTCATGTCGAGATATCTACGAAACCTAGATATTGATAAATATATAAAATAAATTAATAGTAGATAGCAAAATAGATCAACAAATAATGATTATGACAGATTTAAATGACTTTAATATTAATTAAAGTAAGCTTTAAATCTGTCTTATCGATAACTGCATTGAGATTCCCATCCAATTTTAAGATCAAATTTTATGAAAAATAATTATTAATGATTTAAGTTTTTTTTCTTTTTAAAAATTATCATTATCATAAATATGATGAAAAATAAATACTTCCCCCCCCCCCCCTCTTTTTTCCTTTCTTACTCCTTTTCCCTAAGGGGAAACCTGCTACGATGAGATAGATATTGAATTGGCTGGTATAGAATCTTTCAGGAAAGTGACTTCTTCTAGGGTGGGACCTACCTTATTTTTTTAAACCTACCACATTTTGTTTTTTCATTAGTCATGCTGATTTGGTTATTTAATGTTAATGTAACTAATTTTAAATTCTCAGCATTTCAATTGTGGGTTATGAATTGAGCATTTGATAGATTTTTTTATAGCCTTCTCAAAAGTATAAATTAATGTTATCAGAATTGCATGCCATAAATTTATTGACATCTTTGAAAAACTTCATTTTTCTTCAATTGTTTAGGAGAAAAAAGAAAACACAAAACTCCTATATATAGTATGGTTTCTGTTAATAAAATTAAAATAATAAGTAATAATCATAATAAATTTTTTTAAAATAATTTTTTAACTCAAAATGTAAGTATATAATATTTCTAAATAATCATCTTAAGGGTTGTAGTTATATAGAATGATCATTATAGAATATTATTTGTTATAAGTTTGGAGTCATGAGAAGTAGCTCCCTTTGCTCTACAAGATTTCCCTTCTCTATTTTTATCTGAAGAGACGTTTGTCATGCAACCTAAGATAAAACCATGGAAAGTTGAAACCAAGATGCATTTATTTCTAAGAAACACAGAAAAAGGGTAGTTTTGTTACACCAGAAAAAACAACTTGTGAGTAAAAAGGAGCTAATATTTTATCTTAAGATTAAGTAAACTGAAGTCCTATTGATTTAAATGATCGTTTCAATTTAAGTAATTTACCATTAAAAAAGAAAAATGTTTCTAATAACTTCATACAACTAAAACTATCATACCACATGATCAGTCTAATGCGAAATATTGTTGTGAAATTGTAATAAAAATAACTTTTAATAATTATTAAAATGGTACGCAAAAACACACTAATACTCATATTGTTAAATTATAAGAAAGATATAAGAACCCTACAAACAAAAAGAATTAAAATTTTCACATGATAAAAAATTTGTTGAGTGAAGTAGATTCAAAGATTGGAATAAGTTGGTGTCTGGTCAGTGGAGTTTGGTTGAAAATTTGCTTCATAATTTTGAGTTGATATTGTAAGGAGATGACTTGGTGGCGGTTCTTACAACCGTCTTCCGTAACTTTTTTTCTATTTTGGTGGTACTTCTAACCCTAAATTTGACCCACTCTTAATGAATAAAAATAATAAAAGGTGTTAACAATTTAATATGCCATTGACATTAATAAACTTCTTCTTCTCTTTTACATAAATTTTAACTTTTAATATGCCATTGATTAAACCAACTTACATTCTTGGATGCATATGTCTTAATCCACATTGATGATGCCAAATTGACCACATCCGTAAAAACATGCACAAAGAGCCAAGATATATCTTATTCTCTCATGTGACTTTATTTCTTATATAACTTATTAGATAAAATTGTACTCCAAATATACATACAAATAGATATTGATTTTCCCCCAATAAATGCTCTTTGCCCTAACTGCACAAGAATTTTAATTAAATATATTATTAAATTAAGAGAGTGACAATACCCTTAGATATGTACAATGTTGTCCCACGTGACAAATATCTTCATTAACACAGTGACGGTGTATACAATTCTAAATTAATACGTGTCTGAAAATTCAACAACAATGTATTTACAACTATGTCAAATAAATGTTAAAACTAAAACAATGTTTACAAATTATTATTATGTTAAATTAAACATAGACGGCCCTCCTCATTCTTGATTATGAAAGTATGTGTCTTAGAGGCAAAGACCATATGAACTTGGTTGCTGGGCATATTTTGCTAGACTCAAACACAAAACTCATCACATTTCCCATATAAATATAATAGGTCTTTGAGAGACAATAATTCCCAGCTTTCTTAGGGTTGTAATTTAAAATACTATTCATAGACAATTACAATTCCTTCAATATACCCATCAAAGTGACCAAATTTAAATTTTTATGACCCTAACTTCTCATTGCTCATTCAAACAAATTTATTCATTCCTACACATCTTCTTTTACATGAAAAGCATCTTAAAATTACATTTAAATTCTCAACAAACATAATATCTTACCCATTCCATATTTTTCAATTCTGTTTCAAAAACTGCAAAAGATTAGCAATATATTTTCTTTTAAAATAAGTTTTAATCCAAACACTAAATATGAGTGGTTCCAACTATTCCATATGTAGACTTTAACAATATTTCTTTTCTTTTATCAAAATCATATTTTAACAAGTTTTTTCTGACAGTCTTGTGAACTTTGTACACAAAATTGTATCAAGCTTCTTTTTTTCTTTATCTCTCACTCCCTAGCATTATGAAAATTTACAACTTTCATAACCTACTTTGCCTCCAATAGGGACTTTTTCAAAGCGATTTGAGAAAATTGAATTAAATTTTTTGTCAGTGAGTGAAGTGAAATTTAAAGCGAAAGAGAGTGACTTAGAAATACATGGCGGAAGGGCACGGCAAGACCAAGGCGCGTACTAAGTCTCACAAAGTTTTATTTGCAAATTCACTTGATTTACCTCCAAATTCACTAAAATAAATGAAACCAAAACAAATGGATCGCCCGTTTTTTGAAATTGTTTGGTTTTTTTCCGCGCCAAAAGTCCTTCAATTCACCATTCAACGGTATATCCAAGTTTAAAAAGCTTTTTGATTTTTATTTGTCAATCCTTTTTCAACACTATTATGTACAAATACACCACAGATAAGAGAACCAAAACTGGGAGTTACATCATAAACTTATTTTGACTCTGCTACAATCAGTACACGTTCTCAGACATGGATAATCTAAGCTAATAAAGTCATCCATGAAATCATGAAACTCCAAAATCCACCTATAACTGCAGAAATCCCTTCAAAGACGTGTCGGAGTTTTCTCCTTCAGCTCTATAATAATGATTTCGTGGAAAAAGAAGAAATGAATGATCATTGTGATATTGGAAAAATAAACTGCTCCTGCTTCTTAATGTGAAAAGGCTTATTCTTTCCTCAGAGTATCATATCAAAACTCATGGGATGGAAGGAAAACTGGTCCTTCAAATTTTCAAAAGCCTCTCTCCGAAGATCCATCCTCTTTTATGTAATCATGTGTTGTTCTTGAGTAGATGTGAAACTCCTCTAATTTTATCTGCAAAATTCACGGTGAGAAAACATCTAGACATCACCTTTTCCATGTTTTTGTTTTGAATGTGACATTCCAGAGTTATAAGTCCGATTTTACATCATCATCTATCATGTTGTCACCTTCTGTTGTGGATGTCGTTTCCCCAGATTTTGTAGCGAATTGGAGAGGCCCTTGAGGAGAACAAGAACTTGTACCCTTCAATGATTCTTTGTGCATCCACAAGCCTCCAAGATCTGCACCAGAGATACTACAATTTGCAGCTGTAGCAGCTGGAACTCTCCTTGTATGAAGTCTGTATTTCTGCAATAACAATCTACTAAGCTTTAATCTCAAGTCAAACATTAGGAGGCACAGGGAGAAATGAACAACACGAACGCACTTGTAAATGACTCTTTACTTCGTCGTTGGTCAGGCCATCAACCCTCATGAGTTCCCTAATTTGCTTTGGTGTAGCTGCTACAATGAAATAACAAAAAGATTAGACAATTATGAACTAAGATTTCACATGATTATGACTTTCCAAACTTAAATCTGTTTGTAAAGAACTTTCACTGTGACCATATAACATACATATGCAATGCAATATGTACAGTTTCCTATGTAATCTTGGCTGATCCAAACTGAAAAAGAAGTGACGATTTTCATATCCACACAATTCAAGCATCAAATACCTAATTCATCCATTTAATAACCCAACCACAGTTTCCATGATTCAAAATGCTAACTGCTATTCAAAGAAGAAAAATAGTTGTATTGTACTAGTTAGGTGCCTGGATAAGATTGAAGTTATGTTAGTTTTAATCTCCTACCTTGAGAGCCTCCAAGCTCCTCTAATGCCTTAACAAAACGGTGATGCAACTCCGGCGACCAGCACCTCCTTTGATTCCGGCCACTTTGCGGCAGCAGCATGGGCGAAGGAGCGGAGGAAACCACCCTGCAAGAGCTGATTCTGGAACCACGTCCCTCTCTTGTGTTTTTCACTGCAGTTGCAGGTGTCTTGAGAGAAAGTCCATCCACAACACATTCTTCATCTGTTGCAAGGTAAGTGGACAAAGGCATAACAAATCCTCTCTCTACATTTCTATTACTATCATGTCGGAAATAGTCCTTTTCCATAGATTTTCTTTCTTCTCCTTTACTCTGCCATGGCCAAATAACAGAAAACAAACAAAATTAAATTCATCAACTTTACAGAACCCACACACATATAACAATCTCTGTAATACTACCTTCTTTTGTTTCTGCTCCAATCTACATGCCTTGCTCCTATGATAAGCTTCATCTTCTGTGTTCCAAAGCTGGAAAGAACTCAC